ACACGGCCCCTCCTATCAAGCCTCCAACCTGCTCTAGACCCAGAAGCTTCAGCAGGAGGCTCCTAACAACTAAAGCCAAGTGAAGACGCCAGAGGCAGCAGAGGCCGAGAAGTCGGCGGGCAGGAGATCCTTCCGCATTGGAGGCCCGCGATGGTTAAGTACCAAAGTAAGAAGGGAGTGAATCCGGGCCTGGAGCCCCGAAGCCGCCCTTCTCCCCGGGGCAGCCCGAGCCCTTCCAGGCTGGCTCTGAGGCCCCCCGCCGCTCCAAGGTCGCCCCTTTCTTCATCGAATTTGTCAGCTGTTCTGGGCTTTTTAGCCCTCGCCCATCAGCTGTCGTTGTGTCCAAAGCACGGGCACTTTAGCAACACTTTCACTAAAGGACGTTCTGGTAACTGTCTAACAGCCAGCTTCCCAAAATCAATAAATAAATACATGTTTGTCGTTGTTCTTATGTCTGACTCTTCACCACCCCATTTGGTGTTTTTTTTTTAATGTATTTTTTGGTGAGGCAGTTGGGGTTAAGTGACTTGCCCAGAGTCACACAGCTAGTGAGTGTTATGTGTCTCAGGTCAGATTTGAACTCAGGTCCTCCTGAATCCAGGGCAATGCTCTATCCACTGCACCACCTAGCTTCATCAGTTTGGTGTTTTCTTGGCAGAGATACTAGAGTGGTCTGCCTTTTCTTCTCCAGCTCGTTTTACAGATGGGGAAACTGAGGCAAACAGAGTGAAGTGACTTGTCCAGGGTCACCCAGCTGGTAAGTGTCTGAGGCTGGATTTGAACTCAGGAAGAGTCTTCCTGACTCCAGGCCTGGCACTCTGTGCACTATGGAGCTCTCCTAGCTGCCCCAATAATTTAATCTGAATTATTCACATTTCCTCTATCACTTTCTTAAGTCTAGAGAGAGTCCACAAAACAATAAACCAAGCCCTGTTTTGTAGCGTTTGGTTACTTCCAATGTGCGGATGGTCCCAGTGAAGACGTACCAATGGCTCTCAGACACAGGTGCATGATGGCTGTAGCCCCACCCCAGCTTCCAGCCCTGTGCCCTCTGCATCATCCTGTGGTCACAGTCAGTCAGTGAATAAACATTGACTGTGTGCCAGGCACTATGCTGAATGCTAGGGATGCAAAAAGAGGCCCAAGATAGCTCATGGCCCCCAGGGAGCTTGCAGTCTAAGGGGGGAGAGGACCACTCCAGGACAAGGGGGCATGTTGGAGAGATGGTGCAGAGGTGGCATTGACAAGCCTTGGCACCACAGTGGATCTGGGGGGTGAGAGAGGGAGAGCCCGAGGGACGGGGAGGATGGGAAAGGTGAAAGGTGAGGGGGTTAGGGGAAAATAGAAGGCGTTCTGTTCTGAGCATGTTGAGGTTCATGTCTACTGGACATCTAGTTTGAGATGTGTGAGAGGCAAGCGGAGATGGGAGCCTGGAGGTCAGCAGAGAGCCTGGGGCAGGAAAGAGAGATTTGAGGGTCATCAGCAGAGAGAGGGTCATGAAATCCATGGGAGCTCCCATCCATCATGCTCTGAGAGCACTAAAGTGACATCCCTATGTCGGGGTCAAGGTACAGAGAGCCCTACTGAGGCCAATCAGATCGACATGAGCCTGAAAGGTTCTACCACAGCTCGGGCACTGAGAGTCCGTACATTGGACTGGGGAGCAGAGCTGGCTTTAAACTTGCATGTCTCAGTTTTGAGCTACCACAATTCTGCTTCACTCATAGAGCACAGCGCCTTCTTTGATGCTGGGTAGCCCTGTGCCGGCGTCTCAGGACAGAACCCTGACAGGCACCTACGATGAATGAGTTTGACCCGGAGGAAATACAGCAAAGGAGACAGAGGAGGGGTCAGAGAGGGAGGAGGAGAAGCAGGGAGAGAAGAGCCCCCAAAGCCAAGGAGAGGAGAGCATCCAAGTCTGCAGGCAGGTCAAGGACAGCGAGGACTGAGGAAAGGCCGTTGGATTTGGTGATTGAGAGATCATTGGTAACTTTGGTGGAAAGATGAGGTCAGAAGCCAGACTGCAAGAGGTTAAACAGAGGGAGAGGACATGGAGAGGCCCAGTGCAGAGGAGGTTAGCCATAAAGGGCAGATGAGAGATAGGACAATAGCAGGTATGAAAAGATCCCAGAGAGGGTCTGATCAGCATAGGGGAGGGTCTGGCATGTTTGTGGGCTGTAGGGGAGCAGCCAGCAGAGGAAGAGATGGAAGGTAAGTGAAAGTGGGGCTGACAGAGGGGGCTATCTGCTGGAGGAGACACGATGGAAGGGGATCACTTGTGCAGGTAGTGGCTGGCCTTGGTAGGGAGCGAGGCCACTTCATCCTGTGAGACGAGGGAGGAGGAGGAGAGAGGGTGGAAGGTGTCTGAGTGATGGGAGATGAGGCCTCTTCTCTCACTGAATTGGCCTCGGGCACATGCCTGGATCACCTATGATGGAGGCACCCACATAGAAGATGCCAGGGACCGGGTCCTGGGAGAAGGCGTCCTGGATGTCCCTACTGGAAGCCTCTTTCCATTGGCTGGTGAAAGAACTGCCAGGTCTAAGACTACCAGACTGGGACACTCTCTCTCTCCCTCTCTCTCTGTCTCTCTCTTTCTCTGTCTCTGTGTGTATGTGTGTCTCTCTCTGTGTCTCTGTCTCTGTCTCTCCTCTCTCTCTCTCTCTCTCTCTCTCTCTCCTCTCTCTCTCTCTCTCTCTCTCTCTTTCTCTCTGTTTCTGTGAGTGTGTCTGTGGGTTTCTGTCTGTTTGTCTTTCTCTCTGTGTCTCTCTGTGTCAGTCTTCCCTGAGGGCTACTAATGCAACAAGCTGAGTAGGGAAAGGCCACTTTCCCCCTCCCTTGGGCCTAGTGGCCCTAATAAACGGGCTCAGGTTCGGGTCCTGCTTTGTTTGTCCCTCTTCAGGTCTAGGGGCCCGAGTGGCAGTCCCTCTCCTGGGAGCCTCCTGATGGCCCTGAGAGGCCCGTGTGATGGGCGTCTTGTCCCCATTTACCCATGAGGAAGCTGAGGCTCAGAGAGGAGACCTGCCCATGGTCACACAGCTAATAAGCGGGAGAGCCAGATCCTGCCAGGCTATGGCAGGGGAGCAGAGCTGGAGATGGGCACTGTAACAGAACAGTCTGCTGCCCACAGGGGGCTGCCCCACGTGGCCCAGCTCAGGATGCCGCCTACTCACAGGGTACCCCTGCTGATGGAGAATCCGAGCCCTGGCATCGGGGGACATGGAACCTCATCGCGCCTTGAACAATCACTGGCTCTGTGACTTGGCACAGGTCGGTTCTGACCATCTCTAAATGTCTGTGATTCGATCACATCCCTCTGCGCTGGGAAGGCTCAGAAGGGCAGGGAATGAGGGCTGCTCCTGGCCGAGACTTTGTAGGCAGAAAGGTTTAGGGAGGGTTTGGAGGGACCTGAGAGGAGAGCAGGGAGGCTAGGGGCTGGGCCCTGGGCTTAGGGGCCTCGGGGAGAGCTCATGGAAGGCTCAGCCACCTGGGTGCACCTCCTGAGGAGGGCAGAGGGGAGCCATAGACACAAAAGGCATGGGCTGGGATTCGCACCGTGGAGGGCAGTGTCCACTTCTGCCGAGAAGGACCGTTCTGTTCCAAACCCCTGGCTGGGCTTGCATCGTGCTGAGTCGCACCCAGAAGGAAGAGTCAGGGCAGGGGAGGGAGCATAAGCAGCAGCTGCTGACCCCGGGACTCGGGCCCAGAGCCCAGCCTGGCACCTAACAATGCCCACTCTCACTGGCTCTCTCAGCTTCATCTCAGCCCTCTCCCATTCTGCCCCAGAGAAAGGCTGCCTTGTCTCCCCCCAGCACCCACCGTATGCTGACTCAGCACAGCTCTGGGGCAGCCCTGCATCAGGCGGAGGTTGGGAGCCCAGGACTTTGCCCACAAGCTGACAGTTCTGTTGGCCCGGGCAGCCGCTTACTGGGAAAAACCTTGCCCCCAAAGCACAGCCCAGCTGCCCCAGCTCCCCGGGGTTCTGGGGCCTTCCATGGAGCCTGTGGGGACTGGCAGGGAGGTGCCAATGTGGGGTCCCTAAGGTCCCCTCAGCCTTGCCCAGGCAGACCAGCGCCATAGCCACACACTATCTATAAAGGCGGAAAGGGGAGCAGCAGCCTGAGAGGCCCAGACCCCTCCCGTCTCCTTTCTGATCAAAGTCTCCATACCCCAGGAGTGCCAACCCACACTCGTCCTTGGGGATGTCCAAGGGGAGCTCTGGGTCTCTCTCTTGCTGGCCCATGGGGAAGCCAGAAGTTCGGCGCAGGCAAAGCTCTGAACAGGGAGGGGAGAGCCGGACTCCAGGCACAGCCTAGCCAGGACTCACTCAGCCATTCCTGGGCCAGCAGGGGACAGTGTGGGGCAGTGAGGACCAGGGTCCAAGCTCTGTTCCGGCCGATCAGTGCCTCTGTGACAAGACTGGGGCGCTTCTTCTCTCTGGGTCGCAGTTTCCTCTTCTGTAAAATGAGCCACTTCCTACTCCGAGCTCCAGCAATTCTCAATTCACCCCAAAACCCGGCCGGAGTGAGCCATAGCTGGTTACAGCCATGGCTGAGAAGCAGCCCAAAATCTGCAGGTGCGCTATGCACAGGAATGCCCTGACCTGGAACAATGTGAGGGACACGTTGTGGCCAAGCCCAGGCTGCCCCGCCTTCCTGAGGTGCTATCTGCCCCTGGCATGGGATTTCCCCGGGGTATTTCCTTGGAGTCCCCCCCTCCCCTTCTCCTCCGTGTCTCTAGAATACCCAGGTGCCGTGGGGGACACGTCCAGTGGAGAGAAGGAGAATTGTGTCCCTCCTCCGGAGCATATGCATGTCGGTGTGATCTGAGGCCCCCAACAAGGGCCCAGACCTTGGGCACCAGGATTTGCCCTTCCTGGCAGGCCACGTGGGGCACATGCAGATATGCCCTGCCTGCTGCCAATCCAATGTGGTCCTTCAGAGAGGCGCTTTCCAGCCACGGCTGACCATTTGAGCGTGAGGTCCCCGAAGGGTCATCATCAGAGGCTGAGCCCGAGCTGGGAAAGCACACGAAAGATCCAGGTGGCTTTTGAGTGAGGAAGAAGCAATGAGCCTTGGGGGGATGGGGGTGGGAGGGGCAACAGCTGCCCCATCTCCCACCTGCCTGCTACGCATCCCTGAGCATGTGGGGCCCGATTCTTCGTGATGGTTCCTTCCTGGTCTTAGGTGCACAAATAGCTGGGGACAGAATGAACCTGGCTTCAGAAGGTCAGAAGGGTCCTCAGAGGTCCCTTCAACTGAAGCCAGGAGCAGCAATGGCCAGGTCTGGTGAGGAGTCTGAACAGCGACTGTGCCGGCTCGACCCACAGAGCAGTGGACTGGCCCAATGGCTGAGCCATCAACCCTGGAGGGAGTTAGCCCCTTGGAGCAAGGGAGAGAGCTGTCTGACTCATCTCCAGTCCCCGTAACAAATCTGATGAGCGCTGGCCATGTGAAGGGAGAGGCCCAATCTCCCCAGAAAGTCTGGGTGGAGGGAGAAGTGCCCCTCTCCATGTGGGGACATGTATGCCTACTGCTGTCAGCTTGAGCCCACTCTCCCTTCAGTTTGGGGGTGCTTTGTAACTTCTGGATGTCTTATATCTTTTTTTTATGCAATTGGGGTTAAGTGACTTGCCTACGGTCACACAGCTAGTAAGTGTCAAGTGTTTGGTCTGAGGCCGGATTTGAACTCGGGTCCTCCTGACTTCAGGGCTGGTGCTCTATCCACTGTGCCACATGGCTGCCCCTGTCTTATATCTTCTTAGTAAATATCTTGTTGTAAAGGCTAAGTAGTATCAGCTGGTTCAGCTCAGGGAGCATGCTAGATGGGGGCCCTTGAGCCCTCAGGATCCCTCAGGATCCCCACCAGAGGCCATGGGGGAGGAGCGGTCAGGAGTGGGGTCAGAGAAGTGGTCAGCTGCCCTTCAGGGCTCCAGGCAGTCAGTCCAAGGGGGTTGGGAGGGGGATCCCTGAGGGGGTGCTGCATCGATACAGGATTGGGAGGGCAGCATGAGACCCCAGAGCATTTAATAGTGTGAGTCAGTAGTGTGGCCTCTTCATCAAAAAACTGAATGCTGGAGGTTGGGCTGCATTGAGCCACCATAATCTACCGTCCTCTGCCCTCATCAGAAGGCATCCTGAATTCTGGCTCTGGCTCTGGCCCCTCCACTTTAGGAAGAACGCTGCTAAGCCTGGAGGACAGGAAGGGTTTAAGAAGCAAAGAGGAGGAATGAGCACATCCCAGGCTTTGGGCGCACCTTGGGTGAATGCACAGAGGTGGAGAAGGGAAGCTCTGTTCCCCTCTGAGCCCAGGAAAGAGCAAAGAGGCCGAGCTGGCTGGAATGGGAGGGCACGAGGTGGGGCTGATGGGGCCCAGTCCTGGAAAGGGGTCTGGAGCCAGATGACGAAGGGCACCAATGGCAAGGGGAGGGGCTTTGGCTTAGTCCAGGAGGCAGCAAGGAGCCCCTGCGTGTTCCTGAGCAGGAGACCAACGTGATCAGAGCCCAGTGGAAGATTGGACAGGGATGAACTGGAGCAGGGCTGGCGCAGTCATCGGGGTGGGAGGGGATTCCCTGAACTAAGACAAGGAGATGGTGAAAAATAGATTGAGGGTGAGCCTCCACTCCCCCCCCTCCATTTTTCTTACAAGGGATTGGGTGGGGGACTCAGAGAATTATGGGCTTCCCGACTGGAGGCCTCTCTTTTGGGTGTGGGAGTGGCCCCTGTCTGTGAGGCACCAGTGTCTCAGCCTCCTTGGCCTGCCTTCAGGGCCATCTGCCTGCTCTCTACCTGAGCGGCAGGCATACACCGTGCTGGGACTGGCCCTGGCTTCTCATGAGGCTGCCCTGGCCAAGCTCTGAACCCACAGACAGATGGGTGCAGAGCATCACAGGACAGCTATGCATCTTCAGCTTTTTTGTTTTATGTTTTTTTTACAGAGAGAGGTGCCCTGAAATGGCCCGATGGGAGTTCAAAGGCATTCCAGCCTCCCTCTTTCTCCCAGAGCCCAGTGTGATGCCGGCCACAGACCTTTCCAACCTGCCGGGAAATGGTCGTGAGCCTCCCTGGTACAGCCGTGAAGGGCCACAAGAAGCCTTTCAGGGCATGTCACAGCCAGGAGGGCACTGGAAATCATGGAACCCACCCCCGTCTTTTACAGACAAGGAAGCCAAGGGCCAGAGGAGGAAAAGGGCTTGTCCAAGGTCACACACACAGTAAGATACAGCTAGTTAGTACAGTGTGATAGTCAGGAAAACCAGAGTTCAGATCCGGCCTCCACTACTTATAACTGCATGACAAGTCACATACCCCTCAGTTTCCTCCTCTGCAAAATGGCAATAATAGTCACACCTATCTCCCAGAGTTGTTGTGAAGATAAACAAGATAAGCAAGTAAAGGCTAGATGCATGCTAGTAGTAAAGATATTGAAGATGGTGATAGTGGTGATGGTGATGATGATGGTGGTGGTGGTGGTGATGATGAGGATGATGATGGTGATGGTGGTGATGAGGATGGCGGTGATACTGCAGAACTAGGATTTGGACCCAAGTTTTTTAACTCCAGACACAGAATCCTCACTGTGGCACAGGTATGGGAAGTCTCCAAGGTTCTTGTGTGGACTTACCCAGGGTTACAGGACTAGGGCAGGCAAGCAGGCAGGCCCATTCATTACCCAGAGTTTTTCTCTCCTGCTCCAGGGCTCTCCTCACTCTGCTGCCTTGGAGGCCATCATAAGATGCAAATTCTTTGTCATGCCATTACTTCCGTGGTCCAAGCTTCTCATTCCAAAGGGCCAGCTTGACTCTATAGGGCATGAGCCTGAAGCTCCCAGTAGCTTCTGCTCAGCCTCTGACCTCTAGTCCTTAGCTCCAAGTGTCTCACTTCTGGCCCCCAGTCCCCTTTGTCCCAGCTGCCCTAGAAGAGAAGCTCTGTGAATCTGTCTGGTTGTGGAGAGGGAGGGAGGTATGTCATCGTCAGAGGCAGGATCAGGATGAAGCTTCTCTCTGCGCACCCCAGACAAGGCTGGAGGACCCTGCAGGGCTTACATTCTAACCCACAGTATCTGACATATCTCACAAGAGATGTTATGGTGCCAGGGTGGGCAGAGTCTGCTGGCATTCCAAATCCATGCCATTCTGGGGGAGTGATTACGAGAAGTGTCACCCTGCCCCCCCCCCACTGAGTGTCCCCTGCCAAGCAGCTGCCAGCCAGTGGGACACTCCATGGCCGGCTCAGAGCAGGGCTTGCAGGGCAGTAGGCATGAGGGGGCACTGCCAGGCTGGAGTATGGATTCCTTCCCTCCAACTCCAGACATCTCCTCACCTCAGGGAACACCCCTCCTTCCCCCTGACCTCTCCTGGAAGATTCCACAGCTGATTCTGTCACCTGGTAGAACAGGGAGGGCCCTTCCTCCTCTGGTCTGGCCATAGCAGGCTCAGGCCAGTTAGCATGGGTTCCCCTCTCCCTGCCCAGAGCTCCTGATCACGCCTGACTTGGAGCTGTCTCTGCCCTCCAGGCCTTCTCTTCCCCTCACCACAGGGAGACCTCGGGACAGCTGCCTGCAAGGAAGGCCTCTTCCTATGTAAAGCCCACCTGCCTGTCTGGGTGGCCCTCAGAGCTAGCAAGAATCCCCTCCTAGGGCTCCTTCCCAGGGCCCCAGCCTCAAGTGGTGGGGCCTGCTGTAGAGAGCCTGCCCTACTCCCCCCGGCCTCCAATGAACAGCGTCTACATAAAACTTGCACCAGATCCAGCCAACAGACCCCAGCCTCCCCTCCACGGCCTTCCCCCCATCTGTCCTACCTGCACCTCTAGAGCTCCTCTTTAGCGCCAGGCACCTTAAGGCCCTGAGGTTACAGGGACGAAACAGAGTCTCATGCCATTTGGACAGATGGGACAAGTGGGTAGAAAAGGAAGCCCAAAATATGAACCAAGAAAACGCCAAGTGATTTTTGGGGTGGGTGGGACCTGGCTCCTGGGGATCAGAAAAGGAGGGGCACAGGTAGTGACTCCTGAGCTGAATCTTGAAGGAAGCTCAGAATTCCCTGCCTCAGGGAGTACATTCCAGGTGAGGGGCACAGCCTGGACAAGGGTGCAGAGGCAGGAGATGAAGTTCAGTGTACAAGGTATACACCGTACTCTTCAGGTTCTCATTTCTCTTCAGCCATCAACAGGCATAGCCTGTCCAGGCTGCAGGAGTCCTTGGACCTCATGTGGATAAACCCCTTTATTTGGCAAAGGGGGAAACAGGCCCAGAGAGGGAAAGGGATTTATTTGCCTGAGGTCACCAAGGCAACCTGGAGAAGTGGGAGTTTAGTTGGGGCCTAATGGAAGCCTGGAAAGTCAGTGGTTGGAGGAGGGAGAGCCTTCCAGGCCTGGGGGACAGCCAGAGAGAATGCTGGGAGCAAGGAGGTGGAAGGTCAGGTGCCCCAGAATGCAAGGAGGCAGAGCAGAGGCCTCCACTGTCCTCTGCCCACTTGCAGCCCCAAGCCCAGTACTTTACCAGACACCGAGGGCTCCCTTCCTCTGGTCTCTGGGAGCCACACGCCTCATCCAGCCTCAGAGAGAGATGCGAGGTGCTGGGGCTGGGAGTGGGGCTGGGGCCTTGGGAGACATTTTTGTCCAATCCCCTCATTTTACAGATTAAGAAACTGAGGTCTGGCATTGGTGCTGTGTATTGCTGCTCTGGGGCTATAGTATTCACATACACACACACACACACACACACACACTCACACACACTCACACACACCAGGCCCTGTCTGTGGCCTTGCATTGAGCCCCCAGACTCTGTGTGTCCCTCTCCCCTCCCTCTCCTTTCTCCCCCACCACCCACCATTGCTAAGTAGTTTATATTCCCTCCCCTTCTCATTTGTCAATGGGCTGACTGTGAATGACCCCCAGGCTCTGGCCTCCCCTCCTCTTCACTGGGTTAGGAGGGAGGAGCCGCGCAGCCACGCAGTGTCAGTGTGAATCAAGGAGCCCCAAGGCCACAGTTTACAGCCTCTGGACACAGGGCGGCAGACTCAGCTGGCAGCTGCCTTGGGTCTCCTCTCCCTGCTCCCCCAGCAGCTGGTATTTGGAAACCGGGAAGGGCCTGAGAAGGACTTGAGGTGGCTGCTGTCATGCCCAGGTTCCTCGGGGCAGCGGCGGACCTGTCATAACCTTGGGTGGATGTGCAGGCAGTGGGGGAGGAAGCAAGTGGAATTTGAATGCCAGGCACTCTTCTGATGTGTTCCTGCCACAGCCTCTGAGGGCTGAGGGGCCTGAGCTTCCATTCTGTTGGGAGGTGGAGGCCCTGAGAGCCCAGGCCAAGGTCATACAAGCAATTCAACTCAATTCAGTTCAGCCAATGTCAGTTAAGCACCTACTATGTGCAGGGCACCAGACTAGTCACAGGGAACAATACAAAAAAAGATGCCAGGCACAGTGCCTGCCCACCAGGACCTTGTATTTTATTGGGGGGGGGGTATGTGCAAAAACATACATTGCTAGCCATACTATGAGGAAGGAGTGCATTCACACATGCAGGACAGCAGGGGCAAAGGCGTGGAGGTGGGAGACAAGACATTGAATGTGAGTAACAGCTCATGACATAGTCTCCCCAGATGGGAGGGGGCCAGTGTTGGCTGGGCAGCAGGGCTCCTGCCCAAGGGCCATCTGCTCACCGGGGTCTCCCAAGCATCCTTTGACTCCTTTGCCTCATTCTGTGTAGAGTACAGCAAGGATGGTGGGTGGGGCGATGCAGGTGAGAAGAAGCCTCATGCTGCTGCTGCTGCTGCTGCTGCTGCTGCTGCTGCAGAATTCAGGGCAGCTTTCTTGGGAGATTATCCACCATTTGGATTCTTTCCTAGGTGCCATCCTGTATTATTATCAGTGTCTATATACAGAGCTACTCTGTCCCCCTCCTAATCAATAGGCCATCATCTTCTGGAGGGCAGGGGCTCTTTGATTTATCCTGTCTAATAAGTGAAGGAAGGAGGGAATTCTTCGCAACTGAGGGGGGAAAGAAACTATAGAGCTTTGGGGTGCAGATGACTTTATACATGCTCAGGTCAAGCTACCCTCCCCATGCAATTATTGTCAATGGAGCAATCTCAGCTGACAGGCCATTGGGACCCTTCAAGGCCAGCTCCCTTGGGACTTTACAAGATCAACACCCCCCCTTGGGACCCTTCAAGGCCAGCTCCCTTGGAACTGGTCAAGCTTCATGCTTTCAAACATTGAGTCTCTTTGGGTGCTTCTGGAAGAGGCCAACCCCCATCACACTGCTGAAGGAAAAGACTGAAGACGTGGAAGCAATCTCCGTCATGTCCCTGTCCCCATCTCGCTCCTCTAGGGACCTCCAGGATGCTCCCCCTCAGTGGAGCTGAGTTCTCTCATTCCCAGTGGCAGAGGCCTTCACTGTGTTGACTGGTATACTGTCTCCTTCATGGACCTTCTCTGATTTCTGTTTTGCTGTGATTTGGATGAATGGGCTTCTTTGCTATTCACTATGTGCATTCACTGTGGAACTGGTCTTAGAAGGAAAGGGGGTCAAACCTTGGATAGAGAGCATGGGACACCTTCCCCCCAAATGGCAACGTGATCAAAAGTTAGCTCAAACCCAATCTAACCCTTAGACAACCGACATTTAAGAGAGCTGCAGACACATCTGCTCCTAGCCTGGTATCATCTCTCTGAGAAGTGGCCTCTGGCTTCAGCCTCCTGCTTCCCCTCCTGGAAGGAATGAAAGTCCCCCTTGGAGAAGGGTTGGGGGAGAAGAGGCTGGAGACAGCCATTCTGCCGCCCTTCGAGCCCCTCGGCAGCCCTCGCTCCAGGTGGGCCTCCCCACCCAGGAGCCTGCTCTTCCATGAGGAGTTCTAAGCTCACACATGTGAAAGGAAAGGCTTCCTAAAGGCATGGTCAGGGGGCAACCTCGTCTGGGTTTGCACCACCCTGGCTTACATCTGTGTTCGATCCGTCCCATCCACCCTGCCTGCCTCCCACCTGACTGCCTTGGCTGGCAGGCAGCTTCCTCAGGCCCTCTCTCCTAGCCAGGGTCCCATGAGGCCCCTCAAAGGGTCTCAGCTCACCCAGGCCGGTCATCAGCCCCAGCATCCAGCATCCCGTAACTGCTGGAGAAAGCAAGGGCCTGTCCTGCCAGCGCCTCTCAAAGGTCCCTGCTGGAAAACAAAGGCATCTTTGGTGGTGGGAGAACAGAAGTTGTGTTTCATAAGCTAAAAGCAAAGACAAACATCCCAAGAAAACAGCCATGACCTGGCTGCCTGTCAGGCTCAGGCCGATGCTTGTGGGGCCGAGCTAGGGCATCATAAGCCATGGGCACTGCACACATACTCATACACACACACACACACATACACGTATATGCACATACATGCACACAGCCATATACACATGTACACTCACCCACACACATAGACATACAGCATACACACATGTATGTGCACACACTCATACATGCACAGGCATACGCACATAGACATGCAGCACACATACACACATACTCACATATATGTGTACTCACATACACACATATACACACATACATGCACACACACATACACACGTGCATACACATGCCAGCCCTCTCAACTTTGACCCCAATCCCAGCTCCTCACACCCCCATAGCAGAGTTCACCACAGATGTCAGCCAGGAGAGCGGGCCCACTGCCCAGTAGATGCTGACTGTTGGCAGGACTTGAACCCTTTTCCCCTGGGAGCTGTGAGGGGAGGAGGGGAGCAGGCACTGTTAATTCTCTCAAGGGTAAGTGGGCAGCTGGAAAGCAGCTGCTGCCCTCCCCCTCCCCAGAAGCCAGTGTGGATCCCTGGGAGAAGCCATCCAGCTCACCCGGGCTGCCCACCCAGGCAGCCATCTGCAGCCTTCCAGCCAGGGTCTGAGAAATCTTCCAGGCTGGTGCCCTCCTTTTTACCAGTGGAGATCCCGAGGCCCCGCGGGATTGAGTGATGGGCCCGAGGGGGTAGGGTAGCCAGCGGCAGAGCTGGGAACCCCCTTCTGTTTCCAGAGTCAGCACCCTGACTCTGAGTGGGTCCTGTCCTGAGGGCAGGGGGCACTTACGCTTCCTGTCAGGGAGTGCCAGGTGCAGTCTGGTGCTTCTCGGGCTACTGGCTCTGGTCAGCAGGGAGTGGTGAACACTGGATACTCCAGATGTTCCGGTCACCACTGTAAGCTAGCACAATCACACCTGGCCTGTCTACAGCACAGCTCCCCTCTGTCTAATCTATCCAGAGTGTGGCTAGCAGCCAGGAGGTAAACAGAGGAAGGCTCTGGGCAGGACCGCAGTTGGCACTTAATAAACACTGGTGGATTGCTCGGCACTCCTCTCGGCCCTACTCTGCACACAGTTCTAACAAACTTGCTCAATTGATTTCCGAGCCCGCAGCAGCTGGGAGCCGGGAATTAGAGCAGGGAGGCAGGGTTTTCAGAGCAGGCGCACAGACGCTAGGAGAGGAGACAGCTAGCAGCCTGGAAGCACCGGAGGAGACGGAAAAACTCTAGAAAGCAGATGGAAGGCCACAAGCAGCCCGGCCCGCTGGGGCTGGTCAGTGAAGGGGCACGGAGCCCGTCTGCAGGTTTTTTATTTCTTCCAGGCTCAACGCTACTCCTAACAGCCTGCCTGGGAGTGAAGAGAAGGGTCAGATCTAGGCAGGGCCAGCAGCCCAGGTCTACCAGGGAAGGGCCAGAGGCCGGGCGTGGGTCTCTGAGGACAAGAAAAGGCAGCTTCAGGCAGACCCGAGCCCTCCCCCCACCCCAGCTGCCCAGGCAGGACCCTGGGGCTCCAAAGGGGAAAGCCAAAGCCCTTCATCCATCAAGTCGGGGGGCGCGGGGAGTGGAGGCGCAGGGGGCCTGAACTCTGGGCTCGCTGAGCCCTTCTTCCCGCCTCTACCTCCAGGATCCCGAGCCTCCTCCAGGGAGTCAGAGGCCTGAGCTGGCGCCCTGCCCCGATTCCACCTGAGTCATGACTTCTCGCAGTTCTCTGAGGAGAGCCTGCTCCCATTCCGTAGGACCGTACCAACGAGCTCGTGCGAAGTTGGCACTGCCCCCGGCTGCCGTCCCTTTCCATCAGGAGCAGAGACTCAGCCCTTCCTTGTCCGAGGAAGTCTCTGTGCTCCGGGCGGCAGCTTGGGCTTCCTCTGTAACTCGAAGGTTCCCCTTTTGTGTGGAATCCTTAGAACCTACACCGACGTCCTTTTCTCCAACGGTTCCCTGTTGTTTCATCAGTATCTCCCTTAAAGAGATCAGGCCGGAGTTCCTTTCTCTCCACGCCATGTTTTTCTCTCTCTTTTTCATTCATTCTTTCAGGAAGGCAGCATCTGCCTGCTTCCTTCCTGGTCCGTGTTTTTCTACGCGTTTCTTGTTTCCTCCTCCACCTTTGCATTGAGGTCACCAAGCATCATACCACGGGCTGATTTCATGTGGAGTCTCATAGAGATTATCACCCATCTCATTCTCTGCAAAGGTGGGGGTGATTGCACGAGCAGCAATGATATTCATGGTAGTTTTGTTTCTGCAAATCCTTATTCTGTGCCCTGCACTGGCAGAACCAAACAGCCCAGGAAACACTGCCTTTGGACGACCAAGTCCTCGGTTTGCCCGTTCAAGGCAAACCTGTGAGCCGGCTGGCGTTCCAAGGAGCCACAGCGTCCTGCTTCCTTCCGGCCTCATCTATAGCAAGAACGTCCAGATGAACAGACTGAGGTGCCCCAGGAGCACATCTACTCTCGAGCCATTGGACAACGGTCCAACAAGCCAATGAAAGTTCCCAGTTCGCCTAAAATACTTTCACATATACAAGATAATTTGGGGAGAGAGAGAGAACACTAGAAACTGGGAGAGTATGATTATAGCCGTAATAATATTAATAACCAGCATTTCTATGGTCCCTTAAGGCTTACAAAGAGCTTTCCATGTGTTACCTCATTTGGTCATCACAGCAACCCTGAGAGGTAAGCACTGTTATTATCTCCATTTTACAGACAAGGACATCGAGGCAGACAGGGGTTATGTAACCTGCCCATGGTCACACAATGACCCAGGGCTGAACTGGAACTCAGATCTTCCTGGCTCCAGGTCCAGTGCTCGATCCGCTTTGCAAACTAGTGTAGAATAGGTTTCCCATTGGACGTGGCCCCGAGATGAGCCTTGATGGACGCTAAGGAGTCTGAGAAGTGGAAGTAAGAAGGGAGAACACTCCAGGTATGCAGAAGACCCCGTACAAAGGCTTGGAGGTGAGAACTGGGACTCCAGGTTTGGGGAACAGCCGTCTTGGCTGAAACGTGGTGTGTACATGAAGGAGGCTGGTGTGACCTGAGCCCGTGAGGGCGGCTGGAGCCAGGCTGCAGGAGGCCTGGAGCTGAAGATTTTCCCCTCAGGCAAGAGGAAGCCACTGGAGCTTTTGGAAGAGGGAGCTACCCTGTCAGGGCTGTGTTTCTGAGGAGGAGGGACTGGAAAGGGGAGGGGCTGGAGGCAGGAGGCCCGTCCCGAGGCCAGGGCTGGGGGGAGGGGCCTGCGGTGACCATGAGTGACAGGAGAGAGCAGGGCCAGAGCTGGGCGTTAAGGACCGACTAGGCAGAGGCAGCCGGCGGAGGCGTGAGCCGAAGGAGAGAGGTGGGGCCGGGCATGCTAGAATTCATCGCCAAGCCGCAGTGGGATCTTGCGTTGTCTAGACTTCAGTCAACAGTGCGAATGCAAAGAGGGGTTTGCCAGCAACTTTAGCAAGAAAACCCCAGATGGGGTCACGAAGAGTGGGACGTGACTGAAAAGTGAAGCGTCCTTGCCAAAGGCTACCTCTCCCTTACCCACCTTCCTCAAGGACTTCCTCCATGCATGGGACAGTTCTAAGCAGGTGTCTCCAAGTGAGGGCATTGGAAAGATACACATTCCTCCCTCCCCTCTCCCAGTTTGTCACCCGTGGAACGAAGGCGAAGGCGGTGGCACCATGTGACCAGGGATGAGTCCCGCCCCCTCTCTGGGCGACCCCACCTCCACAAACAAACTTCCGGGAGCTTTGGCATTTGCCCCAAATCTTGGCTCCCCAAAGCATTCTTTGTACAAGTGTCACAGTAGCTGGCCTTTTGTGAGTGGAAACAGGAGGCCGAGGAGGCCATGGGCCACCAAGGAAAGGGGCAGGGGTGTCCTAATGATGGGGTGCTTGGGCGCTTGTGCTGGGATGCTTCCAAGATCATATTTCTCCCTAGCCTCGAGGCACTATCCCTGCCAGTTTTCTCCCCAGTCCAAGGACACTATGCCTAGCAATAACTCAGAGGGGGCCCAGTGAGGCAAACTGTCTCCCTGTTCCAAGCTGACCTTCGGAGACTTTCTCTTGTGTGGACAGGACTATCCTGTATCAGCAGAACTATGGCTCACTGATGCCCAGTTACCGCATACAACCCAGAGGCCAAGCTATAGACGGCAGCTCCCAAAGCCATCTCATTACAGACACAATAGACCAAAACCACACCCCTTCGGAAGCCCTCCTCCCCCAGTTTCCAGTAGTGAATGACATCCATGCCCAAGGTTATATGCTACTACCAAGGCTGCTCCGGGTCCCCTGGGGAGGGACAGGCCAGGTATGGCTGGACTCTCCCGGCCACACCCTGCTCCAGCGCCTTCAAGGGGTGGAACGAGTCTTTCCTTTCTGTTGCCAGCAATCAGATAGTACACCCACACGGGAAGGCGTGAAATAAATGTGAGACGTGGGCCAGGCGGGGCAGTTAGGACTGACTCAGTTTATTCATCTGAGGGTACAGGTTATATAGAGAAAATCTTAGCCTAGCTACAAAAGATTCCTCCCCATGAGACACTCCCCAAACATCTGCTGATAAGCGACAATACCTAATTTCTCACAATCAGAGCTCCTAGATTGGGATGTAAAACCTCTGGTGCCTAGGCCATCTGCATAGAGGGGTGATATGTAAATCTAAGGTTCAGAGAATGAGACTGAATGTCTGTGGAGCCTCCCTTGCAGGGGGAGATTTGGAGAGCCCTGCCTTGAGCCCAGTGGGTTAAGCCTGGGCAAAGGTCAAGCTTTGTCCTGGATCTTAAACCCAGATAGGGCCCTTACAGCCGGCCCTCTACACCTTTCCTCCAGAATACTTAGAAATGGGAGCATGAGCCTGCCTCGGAGCTGGGCTTTGGGGAGCCTGGCCATCAGACAGCCAAGGGGTGGGTGCAGAGCAAGGCTGATGAAGATGAGGGACCGCCCTGATGGCCTAACCAGCGGGACCTCTTGATTGGGAGAGGAAAGCCGATTCCCTGCAATGCCTTGGGGGCCTTCAGAGCCTGGGGCCATGCATCATTTCAGTATTGGACACCCAGCCCCTCAGGTTCCTTCCCCTCTACTTTAGTTTGTATTTTTCTTGTAAGGAGCTTGTTCGTCTGTTTGTCTCCCCCATTAGCCTATGAGCTCTTTGAAAGCACAGACTGGTTGTCTTTTGTCTCTTTTTGTGTCTCCAGAGCTTAGTACAGAGCCTGGCACAGAGAAGGCACTTAATAAATGTGTATTGACTGACTGACTGATCACTATGAAAACGCAGGCACCCCCTGAACCCATCTCTCCCAGGGAATGTTCAAAGCTGCTCTGTCTGGTACCCAACAGCTGTCTTCAGGCCTTTCTTGGCCTTTCTCAGACTTCCCAGGACTTCTGGCTGCTAGCCCCTTCCCCTAAGAGATTACCTTCTGTCAGGGAGGAGTTGTCATTCTCTGGAGCCTGGGCCCTTTGAAGCCAGTGGGCAGAAGGCAGCACTAAGGAAGGTCTTAAACCCCTCCAAGCATCCCTACCCCTCTTGCTCCTGGGCAATCAGCTACCTTGGCCCAGATGCGGCTCCAGGGGTCCCTGCAGGGGACAGCTTCATTTGTTAGGAAATTCCTCCTAAATGGCCACTCCCCTCATTGTGCCTGTCCCTGTCCTCTGGGGCCAAGCACAGCAGGCTCAACCCTCCTCTACACCACCTCCCTTCAAACACATAAGCTCAGCTATGACTATGCCCCCCCCAAGTCTTCTGTTTTCCAGGATTAACATGTCCAGTGCCTTCAATGACGCCCCCCAGGACAGACTCCGGCCTGAACACCCTCCAACAGCATCAGCATCCTTCCCCATAGGGCCCCCCCGAAGCAGACCTGAGGGGTCAGAGGAGCCTGGTCAGGCAGGCCCCCTCCACCCCTCTCCAGGCTGGGCTGGAGGCAGCTTCTTGCCCAGCTTGTACTGGGCCAGCTGGTTGTTTGAGCCCAAGTGGAAGACTTTGCAATGATGACCAGTTGAACTCTTTCTGGATCCTGACTCCACCATCCAATCCAGTGTCTCAGAGCTTTGTGGGAAGGCTGATACAGATGCCGTCTTCGACTTGAACCAAGTCATTGATAGCAATATCAAGCAGCCCCAGACTGAACACAGATCCCTGGGGCACTCTGCCAGAGACCCCATCATCTGATACAGAGCGAGGAACTCAGGCTGAATTGAGAGGCGAAGGACCCCGATGTCAGTTCTCTCCCCCCCCTTCCTCTCTCTCTCTGTGTCTCTATCTCAGGTATCTTGCTATGTGACCTGTGCCTCAGTTTCCTCCTCTGCCAGATGAGGGCTGGGAGCTGGGGGCCCTGTGAGGGCCCGAGCTGGTCTATTTGCATCATAGGGAAGGAGGAGCTGTTTTCTGTGCAAAGAAAAGATGGTTCCCAGTGTCCCATTTACCCCCAGCCCAGATGCTGGCTCAGAGATCTGGAGCCTCCCCTTCAGGTGCTAGGTGCTGAGTCAGAGTGGGCAGCTGCTCACCTGGGGGACCTTGTCAGCACAATTAACAAGTAATTAAAACATGCTGTTCTGCTGATCCAACCATTCTGGAGAGCAGTTTGGAACTATGCCCAAAGGGCTACAAAACTCTGCATACCCTTTGATGTAGCAGTAGCACTACTAGGTCTATATCCCAAAAAACACACACAAAAGGGAAGAGGACCACAGGTACGAAAATATTTAGAGCAGCTCTTTTTGTGGTGGCCAAGAAATCAAAGGATGCCCACCAATTGGGGAATGGCTGAACAAGCTGTGGTCTCCGATTGTAATGGAATACTATTGCGCTGTAAGAAACGCGGAAGATTTACATGAACTGATGCATGTGAAGTGATCAGAACCAGGAGAATGTTGTACACGGTAACAGCAACATTGTTTGATGAAGAATGGTAAATGACTCCGCTCTTCTAAGCAACACAATGGTTCAAGACAATCCCAAAGGAGTCATGATGAAGCAGACTATCTGCCTCCAGAGACAGAACTGACATTGACTGACTAGGGACTGCAGCAGGCTGCTTTTCACTTTCTTTCATTTCAGTCTTCTTGCACAGAATGACTAATAAAGAAATGTCCTACACAATTGCATGCCCAGGATCATGCAGACAGTAAAGGGCTGAGCTGGGACCTGAACCCAGCTCCTCTGACTCTTTCCCCTAAGCGGGCTCCTGTTGTTGTTTCAAGTAAAAGTAGCAAAAAGACTTAAAAATCTGGTCTCAGGAGCTGAGGCACCAACACTCTTCCTGAGGGAAGGTCCCAAGAGGCAGGGCTGTGAGGGAGGGCTGGGCTCCAGCTGGAGGAACAAGGTAGAAGGGCTGTCCCTCCCTCGGATCATCAGAGAACATCTGGGTCTGACCGGTTTACCTGGCTTTTTCCTCTCCCAGCCCTGTCATCTCTCTCCCCACAGGCTGGATTCAGACAGCATCCAGTCAAGGAAACAGGTGCTTCTCAGGCATAAAAACACCTTGAGAAGCAGAATGGGAAAAAGCAGTCGCTTAGCCCAAATCAGCCTGGCCAAGTGAGGCTGGTCCACTGGGCTGAGACTTTGGGCAGGAAGTAGTCCTGCCTCCATGCTGTTCTCCACCCTAACCCCTGTCAAATAACTTCTCAAGATGGTCCAGACCTCATCATGGCACTGCTCCGTTTGAACCCTGCACTGACTCCCTATGGCCTATAAAAGCCCAAACCCCTGGCCTGGCACTCAAGG